GAGGTTACAAATATCCCTACAACCTGTCCGAGGATACGTGTGTGCCCACAGCAACGCTCCTTTTCAGCAAACGCAAGCCCTATGATGAAAGTTTTGCTTGAGACATGAATTTCGGCTATGGGGCAGCTGTGTAAGCGTCCTAAGAGTTTGTCAGGGAGCAAAAGAGGAAATTTGGGAATTTTCTGGGAAAATTTACTGGAGCTGGCTCAGCATATGGGTGGCTATAACCTGGGTTTATTTTACTACTGTGCCCCTGTCTCTATGAAGTTATTAATGACATTGTCAGTGTGTTAATAATAGTAAATATAATCTTTCTTTACTTTTACCTAACGTTCACATTCTGTGAAAGAGTGATTTCAGAAGATCTGGCTTCTATGGGCAGGCTTGCTGGACCGCTCAGGCGCTGGACTCCGGGGCAGCCGAAGGGTAACAGATTGTTTCTCGAGCAGCCTTCACGGGCTCTGTGAGTAGCTGTTAATGCACGGTGCCAGATGGGAAAGCTACTGTCGAAGGCAGGCACTCGTGACAGTCCACCTGCCTAAGCCCCCAAATCTCCTGCTGCACTTGGAACATTCTCCTCTCTATGTCTTTTAGTTCCCAGTTTACTCAGTCGTGTCAAAATAGGAACCATTAACTGCTTCCAAGGCTCTGTAAAAGCCCGGAGTTTTAATGTTTTTGGTAACGCGGACAGGAGCTTCTTGCTAGCCATGCACAGATCTTCACCATCTTGGCATTCGACGGGTGGAAAAATGTCAGATATTACTGCCATGGTGTGGATTTTGATCAGCAGCCTAGAGCAGACAGATTTTACTGTTTATTACTTATCCCCAAGCCATTTACCTCCCTTTAACACTCTAAACTCCACACTCAAATGCTGACTTGGGCATTTTTTAATTAAGCACCTTTCACTGTTTAAGTTTGCTTAACAGCTGACTGCCTGTCGGCTTTTCACTTTTAACTTCTTGTTTGCTCAGCAGTGAGGCTTTTCATAATTAAAGCCCTTTTTCAGTTATACTGGTCTGCAATATTTATTCAGAAAAAATACTGAAGAAATGGTTTTGCGTGACTGAATGATTGAAGCACTTCAGGTGCTCGTCTGTTCTTCGGTAACACAAGTTTTTAAATTTAACTGCAGAATTTTCCGGCTCTTTTATCCACCGTCTCTCAGTGTTCAAAACTTCAGCGACCCTCGTGAACAGCTCTGAGTCACTTCTTCTCCTGGTGTCAGCACTTCGCATGCATTCGCACCAGCTGAGAACCTGCGCAGAGCGGCTACAGGGCGAGATCTCGAATAAGCAGCCGTGAATTTGTCTCACAGAAGTCTTTTGAGCACCGCCCCCCCAACCGAAACGCCCCAGATAATGAAAAGCTACGTTGAAAATTCCTTCTCCTCCTTATCTAACTAATGTGCATGCAAATCACAAATTAGGTAGGAAAATATTCAGCACACGAGGCGCAGACCAGAGGTTTTTCAGGCACTAGGCCCTGTGTAGTATTGCAGTTGACGAATAAAATGTAACTGCAACGGCAACGTCTAAAATAGCATGAGAAAGAAGTGACCAACAACCTGTTGCTCATAAAAAAAGCTTGTTTTCGATTTCAGACTCAGGTTCTATGTATGGAATTTGCAAAAAGATAAGGAAAAGCCTCTATAAATATCTAAAAAAAAGCTGGTTAGTTTTGAGCTTTCATGGCCACATGTAGACTAATAACTCTTAGGGCAATCAAAGACATTTTGGAAAATAAACTGTGTCCTAATTTAAGCAGTTTCACCCTGATCTGCACATAGGTTGCATAACTGCTCAGCAGTGGCGTTTGCACCCTCCTACTTTTCAAACTCCTGTAGCCAAAGCACGCTCTACCTCAGAGCAGAGTGCAACTTTTAGCCAAGATTTGTCAACACGAATTCTTGGGCATAAAATGTGCCACTAAGAAATCTCTGAGTTTAGGTAGAATAAAACTGGGTCCGCTGATCTTGGTGAATGCACGAGTCGTCTATAGGATTGGAACATAGCTGGGAAAATTTTAGCCTATAAAAGGGAGCGTTTCACCAATGTACGGCTTATCAAAAACTAGTGTTATACAGAAGCAATTATTCATAACTATACTGCTTTGCCACGCAGACCTTAATCCCCCTCAAACAGCCTACGTCCATAGTCACCGAAATCAATGGGGACTTTGTCACTGGTTTCAGTGGGCACAGGATGTTACCAGAACAGCATCTGCAGCAGCTCCCACATAGGAACACTAGGAAAAATCTTCATTTGTAACTAAATATTTCATGTTTCAAAAGACCGGCCTCAGATGTGCTTTGGAAACTTTTTTTGGGGGGGGGGTATGTCTTTCTTCCACCAAGCTGCGTATTTATCTGTTCTAGTCCTAGAGATGATCGTTAAGAGCTTATCTCCCAGGGGATCAGAACTTCTTTCTAATTTGCTTCTTTATTAAAATAATCAGGGCTTGAAATTAACTTTTTTCTATTGCTCACAATCTTTGCTACTTGCATGAAGAGCAAGCAGCACATTTCCATGTCTTTTTTGAGTCTTTTGCTTATTTCTTTGCTCATCTGCCTTTAGCAAGTTCATGTTCTGAAAACAGAAAAACAAGAGACTGCAGGTAAAAGGGAATTAATAGTTTATTTCAGCGCAGGAGAAAAAAAAATCCAAAACCATAAAAACCCAAACCTATGATATTTATTGTTTGGGAAAATTAAGGAAATCAAGGAGACGTGTTTTAAAATTTTAATTTTGGAAAGGAATTCCTGTGGACCTGCTGTAACTCACTTATTTTCTCAGTAGCTTTGTTTCTCCGTTTACCATTTTAAAGTGAGGCAAATAATGCCCTTCTACTTTATAAGAGCATTTCACAGCTAAATAATTTAGGGCCAGACTGTGCTACAATTTTTTTCACATTGTGTGATAGCTTACGATGCAAATATCCCCAAAGGACCAGCAAACCTATGTGACAACTCCAAAGACAGGATTCCATAAGGACAATCATGTGTTATTAGACGTAATAAAGAATGACAGAATCTGGCTGTTAAAACTTCGTAAGATGCTCAAATACCATAGGGACAGCAGCCATTAAAGCTATAGATAAATTACATCTAAAACAATCCCACTTTGCTGCATTCCTAACTTCTAAAATATCCTTTGATTTCAGTATTGCTACTCTTTATTCTCAGCACACTTTTTTAATCTAAGACCTCTGAATTTCTCCTCAGACAAGGATGTAACCGCAGTTACTGCTGCCAGGTAAAATTACTGCAATGAGTTCTGGTTTGTACAACTCTTGGAAAGCATTCGGAAACGGTTTGCTTCTCGGGCGGTGAGGACTGAGTAAGAGTGTCCTCACTGCTTAGAAAGCGACAAAACTTCCTTCTGGACGTAATAAAAGACATTTTTTTGCCCCAAGTGGTGAGGCTGTGGTTTAGCTGGAGACTATGTAAGGGCTGTAGGGATGGCACAGTGTACGCAGGGTGTATACCGTGCTATAGGTGCTGCCTCCCTCCGCCTTCCCAGGAAACCCATCTCTGTACCGACGAGAAGAAAGTTACTGTCATAGGAGTAATTACATAAATTAAATGGATATGAGGGGCTACAGGAAAAGCTGCTGGACATCTTCGGTGTGAACTAGCTTGGCCTGAAGGATGTAGTAGGCTGAGGATTTATAGATTTAATACTCCTCCCTGAACAGTTTGACACTTCAGTGATTGCTAAAGCTACCATTTCCACACTCTGGGATGGCCCAACATCCCAAACTCAGAAAAAAATAACCTATGGCCTGCTGCAATAGTTAAAATTTCTTTGGTTTAAATTTTCTTGGGCTCCTAAGCCACAGCTGGGTAAGTTTACGCAGGGCTGAGGCTCAGTAAGGGACAGGATTGTCCCAGGCTGGCCCCTGGAGCGGCCTTGTGTTCACGCCGAAGGAGAACCAGCGCCGTCCTACCACAGCCCTGACGAATGCATCGCAGGGAACACTTTCCCATACAAAATCTCCTGATTTTTTTTTTTTTTTTTTTGCTCGCAAAAATATTTTCCCTTTCAAGATACATTCCTACAGTGGCTGTCCTCAGCTGATTTGGTGCTCGGAGCATCAGTGAGGATGTGTCACCATTGCCCTCTTCTGGATTGTCAACCAGGTCTGCTCCAAAGCTTGGCAGATGTCACCGTCTAGTGATGGCAGCATGTGGTGACTCCAAGGGGACTGTTTCGTAGGCGACCACTGGTACCTCGTGCAGGTGCTTTGCACTATTTCATTCAAGACCTTCAAGTTCTTCTGCATTTCTCCTTCCAGCATGGTGACTACACTGCTGTGCAGATATACAGCAGATAGTGGATTCAAATGGATGGAGAAAGCAGACAACCTTTACCGCTAAATATATGGCTAATTCAAGACCTTTGTGAACGTGTACCACTGTTAGCTAAAAGGTTGGTGGTTCAAAACCTCCTGGGAACAGGGGGATTTCAGGTTCACATGAAAGGAGATGTATGGTCAAGCTGAGGAACTCCTTGCCACAGGATGCTGAAGAGGCTAAAAATGTATATGAACTTAAGAGGAGTCTGGAAAAGTTTGTGGAAGAGAAATCCACTGAGGGTTACTAATTACATAGAACTTCTAACCATTTATATAAGTTTTATTTCCAAATGAAATACATATTTATGGAAGAAAACTCTTCCTAGTCCTTCCTAGGCACCCTCTTTGGGGCTATATATAAGACAGGATAACTGAATCAGCCCTTTGCTGACCCAGTATAAGCACACTTCTGTTGTTATGAATATGAAAAAGCACACAGATCTAATCAGGGGTCAGGTCCTCAGCTTCTGCCTCAAGGTTTTATTCAGCTTGAGGCAGGCGGGGACTCAGTAATTGCTTAGCGACACACTTGGGGCCTGGCCCACCATCAAGCTCTTGAGATCTGGTGTTTTTGTAATGCACAAAATTATGCAGGAAGCTTCTCAGGGCGCCTCTTCTTTGTGTCCAGGTGGCGAGGCCGAGGGGCTGCGGGGCTGCCCGGGGCCATGGGGGTGCAGGACCGGCCCCAGTGCTTCTTCGAGATAGAAATCAACCGGGAACCAGGTAAGGCTTGCGTCTCTGACACAAGCGTTCCTCTCAAGTGTTGTGTTTGGGGTTGGGGTTTTTTTTTTACCACATTTTTGCCTTAATAATTGACTCGAGCCATTAGCAACGAGTTTGGCCATTGGTGTGTTATTTCTGAGTTAGTTTTTAGTAACTTTTGGTGTCTACTGGGGTGCTGGATGCTTTTTATTCTCCTTCGAAATTGATCTTTATTTGCATACATTGGTTCGGTAAGGCTGACACACACTATTCTGAAGATAAAAAGAATTGTGTATTAGAAGCGTTCTCTGGTTATGTATCATACATCTACGGTTGTATAAACTATAGAAAATTGGGGCAAGTTGTGAGGAAACTGGAGAGGTGCTCCTAGAAGTATTTTAAATCATACAGTAATTAAAACTGAAAAGGGACCTGAGGAGATCATCTGATCTAAACCTTTCCTCCTCCTGCTCAGATTGAGCCTTCTGAATGTAAATGAAGAATTGAGCAGGTGGCCTGTTTAAAAAAAAAAACAAACAAAAAGACCCCAATCCATCTCCTAACTCACGTTTTCCCTATTGGAAGTGTAATTGCCCGTAAGTGGTAGACTGTGAGTTTTAATCCTGGAATAGCTACTTGATTCCCTCTTCTGTTTTCCCCACTCTGTAAAAATGGTCGTACAGATTTACTTACCTATCTTTCGGAACATGAATTAATCGATGCGTATTAGTTGTCTGACATATACTCAGTGCTTTATATTGCTACTATTTGTTTCTCAGAAAAATGAATAAATGTGATGGCTTCATTGTGCTTTCACTTTCATTTTCTGCTTCAATGTTTCTCTGAAAGCCTTTGAAATAAAGAGTTTATGTCTCTGCATTTTCAAATTTCAGTTGCATTCAAATGTAACCGTAACCCATTTGGCTTGCTTTTTGTTTTCACCAAAACTTGAAAAGAAAGATTCAGTTCTAACTTCAGTGACCTGATAGGGCATATCTATAAATCTGTTGCTATTGTAACTCCTATTTGAGTTATTAACACTGCCTTTTCTGAATACTTTTATTTGAAGAGAAAAATGTTAATGTAAATCGAGCTTTAACATTTTCTGTTGCTTTAAATTCAGATTTACTATGGAATGAGACTACTAAAAATGTTTTAAATTGGGTAGGTTTCCAGGTTAGGAATGGTAGTTTGACGACATTGGTTTATAATTCTTCATCTCACTTGCTTTTAATCTTTGTTAGGGTTTTTTGTTTTGACTCTTCATCTGAAGAATCTCTCCCTGCGCTGTTTCCTTCTGCTCTTTCTTCATGCGCACGCTCCTGCTCCCATTTCGTAATACCTCTTGCTGCCTGCTTTGTCCCCTCCTCAGCCTTGTGCTGTGCATCACGAGTGAAAGTGGATTACCTTGTTTTCCCCTCACATCTACTTGGGTTTGATGACTGATAGCGGTGTCAGAGAGGAATTGCAGCGTTGGTGTTCTTGGTGGTGCAGAGCTTTGGTTACCTGGAGTAAGACACGGGCTTTCGCTCTGTTCGTGGCTGTCTGTATTTATTTTCTCTTTAAAGTAACAGGAATTTCACAGCTGTATATCAAATTCGGAGCCCTGCTGTTTTTATTGCACCTGACTAATGACTAATTTTTGCCGGAAAACATGCCCATTTGTAAAATGTTGATATCGGGACTTGTGTGTAATCTGGTTACACTACTTTATGCTAGTGTCCGTTTATTAATTCACTATGCAACTATGTCTTGGGATTTAAGGTTATATTTAAAAAGCCTATACATTGCTCTTTTAGCTGTAAGATGACCTTCAAAAGTGGAATCAAGTGTGAATGATAAAGCAGTGCTTCCAGATGATATGAAGCACTAACTCTGAGAGATGTACTCTCCTGCTGATACTAGTGAGGTATTAATTTTAACTTTTATACTGCCAGCAGATTTCCAAATTGCCATTTTGCTTATTTGGACTTCAGTACACTAAGTTGATCTGTGTGTTCTCCCTACGTGTAATAAAAATGAAAGAACTGGGGAAAAGAACAATCCCGCATTTTGTTGCTAGCCAAGAAATAAGACATTGCCCTTGCCCTGTCTACACTGAAAAGCTGAACTAAGATCTGTCCACAAAATACAGAGAGTAAGAGGACATGCCTCTCGCAGTACTGCAGGCATCTCTTTGCCTGCAGAATACAAAACTGTGTCATTTTTAACAGTGTAGGTTGCTTGGAGTCCAAAAATGTTCCCCCACGCAGCTGCCAACTTTTAGCTTTCCCCTTACAGACTTTGCTTACCCAATGTTTGTTCAGATACCTGTAGCAATTAAAAATAAGAGAGCAGTGCACAGACTAGATGAGAAGGAGCTGCAAAAGGTGGGGTGTGTGTGTGCATATGTGAGAGGGGAGGGGACTGCAGAGTTTGGATTAGTTTTACTCTTTAACTAGATCCCTTAGAAAATACAGGAGTGACTATTGTAGCTTTGATTGTGCTTTCAGAAACTTTATTACAGCTTTTGTGTCATGTTTTAATTTTAGCTACAGAATCTTGGAATAAAACTTTGATGCCAGCTTATATGTGCCTCTTGCAGTGGGGCAAACTTTGTAGGCTTTGTGTCAGTGTTTTTTAAGTTTAAATTTAGGCTGCTTTTAATAAGTTGCCTGTTAAGCATTTTTGTATGAATGCACGTTGTGGTTCATAATTTTAAAAGAGCAAATGGAGAATAAATCAGGAATAAGATTTATTTTGATACTAGCACAGACAGCACCTCTCCCTTCTTTTGGGTCCCCCCTACCAATGGATTTGGACGCATACAGCATGTACATAGGAGTAAACTGCTTACAGTATTCCAAGAATTTTGGGATGGCAGCAGGTGCCTATTTAAATAATTCTGTCTTTACTCTGTGATGCAAAAATCTATGTGGAGCTTCAGTCTTTCAGGTACCGTCATAATCAGAACAGATGTCTGACTAGGATGTCATATACATAGTCTGCTGCTGTAGCTTTATGCATCATAAAGTGTGCTATATTTACTCATTTTTGTTTTGTTTCATTCTTATTCACAGAAGAATTTTCCTTCTTTTCATCTTTTTTTTTACTTTTTTTTTTTCTCTCCTGTCTTCTGTTACTGTTTGACCCCTTGCTCACTTTTTCATTCCACTTCAGTTTCTTTCCTTCCTGGGCTATGTCCCTTCCCTTATCTGTCAGTCTGTTCTTTCATTACTTCTCTCCTTCTAGTCACTCTTGCCTAAAGTTTAGTGTATTTGGGGATTTCAGCTGCTATGAATTTATGTGAAATAAGCTCCACTGCAAAAGTCATTGTAGCACTGTGCCTGCATTAGTAAAACCAAGGATGTCTTACAGGGTTTTTGTTACCCTGCCTGAAGACAGAAACTGTTCTCAACTGGCTTGCCATTAACTTTTTAGCCCTTTGGAGGCAAAAAGTTGTAGACTGGCAGAAAATAGATCAGCGCTTTGACTCTGTCCATGGACCAATTGGCAATCCAGTTGAGTGCAGTACAACAGGAGCCAAGAGAGCGTGCTACGTGGAGAATCCCTATCGGAGGGCCTAAGGGAGATAGGATCTAGATAGGTTCGGGGGAAACTGGTTTAATAAAAGTTGTAATCTGCTCATTATATGGAATTCTTGTTGTCGGTGCAGAATGAAATACACTGGAGATTTACCTTGAGGTCTAGAACAAATTGGATTAGTAAATGGAAGACCAAACTGATTAGCCTCTTCTGCTAGGAGAAGACAAAGTGTAGTCTCTCACTTGCATATCCCTGAAACTGAAGACAGTAAATTTTTGTTGTGTGCAGTGCTGAAATACATTTGCTTTTGTGGAGACCATGGGAGATTGGAATGGAGGGAGCTTCAGGGAGTATCTGTGGAGGCCTGGGCTTGGTAGAGAGCTGGGGAAAGAAGTTTATGGAGGTTTCCCTTGCAAAGAGTGTAAGGTGGGGTAAGGAAGCATTAACGAAGTGTTAATGTGTCAAGACTATAGATCCCTGCCCAGAGGAACTGGGGCATCCTTGTTTTAATGATGTTTTAAATAAAATCTGTTCTTTTTCCACAGTAAGCTTTTATTTTTCTGAAAACTGTAGCCACGTTTCTACTTTAAAGCAGTCTTTTTAAATTTATATGACTTAGTGTTCACAAATTTAGGGATAAATAAATTTAAAATACGGTCATTTTAGTGAGCTGTTATTTAAACTTGTATCCAAATCTATCTAAGCCTTTAGGCCTCTGGCAGACTTTCTGGTCTCGGTCTGTAAGGGATGCGCATCGCTGTCTTAGTGGTTGTAATCCCTCTTTCTCCTT